GTGCGACAGTTGGAGAAATTGCGGGATTCGCTCTTATTACTGCAAGAGAATTTATAGAGAACGGTTGTACGGTAATGGGTGTGACCAAAGGTTTTTGAGCTGATTTGGATTGAAGTGACCTAGGTGGTGAGAGATTTTGTGGAAGCATCTGTGATGATATGATTTGTTGTTGGTATGAACTATTAAAAGGAATGCCAGAAGGAGCAGTCGTTGACGACACCATCAAGGTGCGATCACCCAATTCCACTCCAGTTAAATGGAGAGCTGTTATTGCTGAATATGCTTCCTTGAACTCTATTGTACATTCTTGCACGCCATCACCATGAGGACTGTAAAATAAAACAAACATAATTACATGTGTGTAAAAAATAAACGCGTATATGGAAAAAACTCTTACCTGTTATATAATTTTATTTTTGTAACATCACCTAGGAACTCAAACAACTGTTTCAGTATCGGTTCAGTTACGAGTGAAGATATGTTTGCAACCTGTGAATTTTAGATAGCATGTTCCATTAATATCATTGTGACTAGCATACAAATGCCAACTTTAATAAAATGTATGTACCTTTACAACGTTATCAACTGACATTGATCAGCTTTCGTATATTAAGACTTTAGACTTTGATATTTCGATGGGAATGCATTGTACAAGAAAATCTTTTCTGATTGGTCAAATCATACGATCATAAGTTACTGGTAAAACCAAGAGGCTTGGGTCATAATTGATGATTTTTGCCACATTTTATCTTAAAAGGATGACGCGTGAACCCTAAAAAAACTAAAAAAAAACCTTTTCCCTCAAGTTGTATAACAAGCAATGTGCGGTTTATATTTATTAGATTATGGTGCGGGAAACGTACGTAGCTTAGCGAATGCCTTAAATCGATTAGGATATAAATTTAAATGGGTCGAAAAACCCGAGGATATTTTAGCAGCAGACGTAAGTAGACAATATATACATATAAATATAATTTAAATAAATAATAATAACGAACATAAAGAAACATTTCATCAAGCCTAAATATCTTTTTTATAATTCTCACGTGATCAATACAGAAATTAATTTTTCCAGGAGTAGGTGCTTTCGGTAGCGCAATGGAATTATTAACATCAAAAAATTACGCCGAACCCCTAAAGCAATATATAAAATTAGGAAAACCATTCATGGGAATTTGTGTCGGTTTACAGACTTTATTTCATGGATCCGAGGAAAATCCCAATGTTCCTGGCCTGTGCATTATTCCAGGTACCGTGAAGCTCTTTAATAAAACTGACAAAGCCGTTCCACATATGGGATGGAACGAAGTATTCAGTGTTAAGAGGATTGACGAGGTTAACGAAGACTATCCAGAAGATAGTTATTATGGCATTAAGCAAGGAACCGTCTATTATTTTGTCCATTCTTATGCTGTACCCTTCACCGATGAACTCAAGGAATGGACACTCGCGACAACTCAATATGGTAAAGAAATTTTTATCAGCGTGATTCAAAAAGATAACATTCTCTGCACTCAATTTCATCCAGAAAAAAGTGGATATGCTGGTTTAAGAATTCTAAGATCCTTTTTGCAAGGTGATGGCATTGTGAATAATGTCAGCAAGCAATTCATAATAAAAAATCCAGAATTATTATCCCGAGATCGGTTTACCAAAAGAATCATTGCTTGTTTAGATGTGCGAACTAATGACCAAGGTGATTTGGTTGTTACCAAAGGTGATCAATATGACGTTCGTGAGAGTAGTGATGGCTCAGAAGTTTCAGGACAAGTTCGCAATCTTGGAAAACCTGTTGATTTAGCACGCCGATATTTTGATGAAGGTGCCGATGAAATTACATTTTTGAATATCACAAGTTTTCGAAATTGCCCGCTAACGGATTTGCCGATGTTAGAAATATTAAAGCGTACTTCAGAAACTGTTTTTGTTCCTTTAACTATTGGTGGTGGTATAAGAGATGTAACTGATCCTGATGGTAAATTGCATTCCGCACTTGAAGTTGCGGGAGAGTATTTTAGATCAGGGGCAGATAAAGTTTCTATTGGTAGTGATGCTGTGTATGCTGTAGAAAAATATCTTGCAAATGGTAAGAAACTATCAGGAGACACCGCAATCGAAACCATTTCTCGTGCCTATGGATCTCAAGCGGTTGTAATTTCTGTGGATCCAAGACGTGTTTACGTTGATTCCCCAACTAATGCGATGGGGCATCATGTTATCCCAACGTCATACCCCGGTCCTAAAGGGGAAACATGGTGTTGGTATCAATGTACTGTGAAAGGTGGTCGCGAAGGTCGAGATATTGACGTTCATCAACTAGTTACTATCTGTGAAGCTATGGGTGCTGGTGAAATTCTCCTTAATTGTATGGATAAAGATGGGACAAATTCTGGATACGACTTGGAACTCATACAAGACGTGAAAAAAGCAGTCAAAATACCAATTATTGCATCAAGTGGTGCTGGACGTGAAGAACATTTTGAAAAAGTCTTTGTCGAAACCAATGTAGAAGCTGCTCTTGCTGCTGGTATCTTTCATCGACGCGAAGTACCGATACAAAGCGTTAAAAACTATCTAAAAGAAAGGAATTTATTGGTGCGGGATATGGTTCCCACTTTATAATACTTGAGTGTTATTAAACGTTAAGTATTCTGTTATATAATTTAAAAAAAATTGTTTATATAAATGTTAGGTTATACAAATTTAGGGTGTTCTCAAGCATCTTTCTCAGTGTAATTAGCTAGCTATCTATAGAGATCGTGCACAAGTACTACGATTAATTGAAGTAAACCTTACGGTAATTTTGTCGTTGCGAAACGCGGATATTAAATTTTAGCCAATCAGCACAACTCTATGATAAAAAAAGATGGTCTCTAATCATCTTTTTTTTTCATCGCGATGAACTCGCTTGACCGAATAATTTATTTTTCACTATATAATTAAAAATTGAACTCAGTCCTATTGATTTAGATGCTTGAGAGCACCCTTAATGTCTTTGTTTTCATAACATGAAGTTTTTAAATAGACCCGGCCAGCCAGTTTTTTTTTTTTTAAATTTGAGTCGGCCGGATTAGGAAATCAAATTATTTAAATTAATTAAATAGCTTGTTTGTTTAAGCAATGTATACGTATTATCACTTTATTAGCTACTTTAACACATTTTATCGTCGTTACGTAAAAATGTAAAAGTACATTAATGTTATTAAAAGCGATACAATTTACAATCAAATCAATCGAAGGCAGTCAAAATAAAAAGAAATGTTAAAAAGTATTGTAACGAATTTCAGACAGTGTATTATTAAAAGTAAGCCTATTATTGCTAACTCGTGGTTTACTCAAAGATGATGTTGTCATGCTATTATGCATACGAATCCAAGGGTGATTCAAAATATCTTCCAAGGATGGACGACAGAATGGAATTTTTTGAAGCACCTACATAAAGATTATAATAATGAAAACAATGCAGTAACTTGACGAAAAATAGCTTACTGTATAACTACCATTAAAATAAAGTTCCTAGCTTCACTTGACACGTGATCCGGGATATTTACATTATCACACATAATTCGTCGACAAGTCTCATGAAAACCTATTGCTTCAAACGGTGGCACACCAACCAACAACTCATAACATAGGATTCCAAGGGCCCACACATCAACATTTTCATTATACGGAAGGCGTCGCACCATTTCTGGTGCAAGATAATCCAAAGTTCCACAAACTGTTGTGAGCGGGGCACTGTGTTACACATGAAAAAATCAAATATTAAACCAATAATTCTTTAAATTTATAAGTCGTCCGTCAACTACTCACCTTGATAAACCCGGCGCATATGTTGCCCACCCGAAATCAGCTAGCTTGAGCTCACCATTTCGTCCAACTAACAAATTCTCCGGCTTAATGTCTCGATGAATAATACGTTTCTGATGAATGAATTGCAGGGCTCTGGCTATTTGCGCTACATACTGCACAGAAACGTATGGTTATCATTCGCCATGAATCATATAAATATATACGCATATTTACCCGTGCCGATCGTCCTTCACTAATTCGCTGCGATTTTTTAAGAAAATCATATAACGTTCCATATTGTGCAAATTCCAAAATCATTACAATTTGGTTATCGTCTTGAAAGTAGCCATAAAGTTTGAGGATATTAGGATGACTAAAAGTAAAATTTCGTCTTTATCCATTTTTTAACCCTGATAATTCAAATTCATTACTTAATGCAAAAAATTGAATTACTCAAGATTGCCTTGAATTTCA